CCGCTCCCGGTTATTGCCAGCCCATGGGCAAGGTCCCTTGTGAGGCACACTGAGCCTAATGTGGTTGATATGGTTGAACCGTTGGTGTAGAGACTGGCTATGCCTTCCAGAGACTAGAATTTGGGATCCTATTGCTTCAGCTCCCTTGGGCTTTGAGATTTAGCCTCCATGTGATCTTCGAGTGTTCAGGGTGGGGCAGAGCCTTCCCTGGAACTTGCCCCACAACACTGGCTGAAGTCATCATTTATGTGTTTATGGACAGGGTGTGAGGGGCAAAGTTGAGGGGAAGGAAGGAAGGAAGGAAGAGGGGAGGGGCTGGCCCCTGATTCTCAGATGCCTAGCTGAAGCTTCAGGCTGACACCTGGCCTCATCCCCCTCTGATATGCCCTCTCCCAGGCAGCAGGGACCTCTGGCCCTGGACCTTGGACATTCTCCAGCTAACAGCCAGTGCCCTGCCCTGAAGATGATAAGAAGCTTAGCTTTCCATTTTGTACCCCCAGAGGGTCTGAAGCCTCCTTTGCCACCCATCTGCTTCAACCCAGGCCCCTTGTGGTTTTTGTTTTTTTTTTTTTTTTGCTCCCACACTGCTGCTACCCAGCCCTCTCCACAGCTAGTCAAAATTTTGAGAGATCCCTGCTTACAGCCCAGAGCCCAGGCCTCTCCTGATTTTCCAGGCACACTCCCTTCTCAGGAAACGGCTGAGAAATCAGCTGGCAAGTCCATAGCCACACCCAGTCAGATGTGACCAACCCAGGGCTCCATCAGCAGTGGCTGCAGAGCCGAGCAGGGCTCCAGGGTGGAAACGCCGCGCTGCCCGGGGGCTGGCTCAGTGCCCAGCCTTCTCTAAAAACCTAGGGAACATGGATGTATAATTCAAATGCCCCTCCCCCATCTGCTCTTTAGCAGGAAATGGCCTAACAGGAAAGTAGGTCTTCTTAAATCTGAATTATTCAAACAATCTAGGCATGTGACTGGGGCCCAGAGCAAGGCAGTGCCCTGGTGCCTTGCTTTTAGCCAGCCTTTAAAAAGGCTTGAAAACAGCAAAGGGACATTTCTAGATTTCCAGATCTGGTAAAAAGGGAAAGAGGGATAGTGACCAGGAACAGTCCCTTTGTCACGGTCTGGATTCAGGCCCCCCCAGGGGGCATCTGTCTCTCCTGCTGAACGCTGTCTAGTTTTTCCACCACACAGCTATTCCATTATCACTTCCAGTAAGTGAGACTGCAGCCTGCCCCTGCCTCCACACACCAGAGCACTAAGAGGAAGGAAAGAGGGGAGGGACACGTGATGGTGCCCAGGGACTCGGAATGTAGGTGACAAGGAAGAAAAGTGCTAATTAGTTCCTATGGGCTTCCAGGCACAGGGTTTGGAGAAAGAACGGGGCCATGGCTCTTGAGGAGACCCTCATACCTCCTTCACCCCATAAGCCTATTTATCAGTGCCCGTCTCTGCTGCGGCAACCTGGACATGCATGACCCATGCAACTCACAGTCCTGACCTCCAGTGGTACATCTATCCCCAAGGAGGTGACATGGAGGGAGCAGAGTGGGTGGCCTTTGTAGATTGACCAGCATGCTTGCAGGACCATTGGTCCCTTCCCAATCTCACAGGGGAGTTGGTTCTGTGACCATTTGTCTCACCATGCTTCTAACTCTGATCTTTCTGATCACAAACCGGACATCCTGTAGGCAGGGCACCGACATCAGATGGAAATGGAAGGGATGTCAAAAAGTGTCCAGTGATGCCAAGTGACAATGGTGGCGCACGCCTTTAATCCTGGCACTTGGGAGGCAAAGGCAGGCAGATCTCTGTGAGTTCAAGGCCAGCCTGGTCTACAAAGCCAGGGCTGTTACACAGAAAAACCCTATCTGGAAAAACGTTAAAAAAAGGGGGGGGGGCTGGAGAGATGGCTCAGAGGTTAAGAGCACTGACTGCTCTTCCAGAGGTCATGAGTTCAATTCCCAGCAACCACATGGTGGCTCACAACCATCTGTAATGAGATCTGGTGCCCTCTTCTGATGTGTACATGGAGGCAGGGTGTTGTATTAGTAATAAATAAATAAATTTAAAAAAAAAAGGACCCGGTGAGCTGGGTGATGATAATTTCATCCCTCAGGAGTTTAAGTCTTGTTTGAAGCCGGCCCGCCCGGGCTTCATAGAGAGACACTGTCTCAAAAGTAAGTGCTGACCCAGCACTCGGGAGGCAGAGGCAGGCGGATTTCTGTGAGTTCGAGGCCAGCCTGGTCTACAGAGTGAGTTCCAGGACAGCCTCCAAAACAATACAGAGAAACCCTGTCTCGAAAAACCAACAACAACAACAACAAAAAAAGTAAGTGCTGACAAGATGGCTCACTGGGTAAAGGTGCTTACCACACAAGCCTGATACCCTGAGTTCAATCCTTGGGACCCACGTAAAGGTGGGAGGAAAAAAACTCTATGAAGGCGTGCTCTGACTTCCACACGTGTGCTGCGGCATGTGCTTGCCCTCCTCCAATAATAAAATAGAAGTTGCGGGTCTGGGGTGGAAGCTAACGGCTAGTGAGCCTGTGTCTCCTCCACTTGAGTTGAGTCGGAAACCTGGGGAGAAGACAGATGGTTCCTCGTTGCCCATGACATGTGTGTGCCCTGTTCAGACCTTCAATAAAAGCCTGGTGTGGCCCTCCTGGGAAGAAACAACAGTTGTTCTCCCTGAGATGTGTGAAGGGTACATCACCCTGAGCTGCCATGTGTGAACCCTCTTGGCCTATGCCATGGCTCAGGGGCCATAGAGAAACCTAAACGAGGGGTGCTCTCCGGTGCCATCTTCAAGCAAACATAATCCTCTCTAATGCAAGAGGCATCTAGGCAGCTGTGAGCAGAAAGAACAAGGAGCCCAAACAAACAGGTTGAAACAGTCAGAGTCAAGCCGACAAGCATACAAGCTTAAACCATCTTGTATGAAAAGAGGCAACCGACAGACATCTGTGCTTTGGGCATAAGAGGATCCAGGTGTTCTGTGAGGCTATTGGGGCACCCCACTGCCTACCCCCATGCCTTTGTTCCTCTGTATGGTGTCTCCCTCTGTCTGGTAAGGCAGTCGCTACTATGAACTCTTCCTTCTGGTCACACCAGCTTATCACCACAGTGTTCTTTTTTTTTTTTTTGGTTTTTCGAGACAGGGTTTCTCTGTATTGTTTTGGAGGCTGTCCTGGAACTTGCTCTGTAGACCAGGCTGGCCTCAAACTCACAGAGATCCGCCTGCCTCTGCCTCCCGAGTGCTGGGATTAAAGGTGTGCGCCAATGCCTGGATGCACCACAGTATTCTTTTCACAGGTGTCTGTGGAAAGAAGGCAGAAAAGGCTTCATTCAAATTTCAGGGGGGCCCTGGTGGCAGAAAACTGGAGGCTACCATTAGTATATCTGTTTAGATAACACAAAGTTTCCAGTACAAATTATGGGGTTGTTACCTGTCTCCAGGCAGGAGAGAAACACTGCTCCAAAAAGGAAGAAACCTCATAGGTATCCTTCCCACAGGACCAGTTTTTCTGCTAAAACTAGGATTTGGAACTATGCATGGTGGTATACGCCAATTATCCCAAGACTTAAAGCCAAGACAGGAGAATTGCTATGAGTTTGAGTCCGGCTTGATCTACATAGTCAATTCCAGGCCATCATAAACTATCAAGTGAGACCCTGTCTTAAAAAAAAAAATCAAAGCCAAGAGGCTGAAGAGAAGACTCAGCAGTTAAGAGCATTGGCTGCTCTTTCAGAGGACGTGGGTTCAATATCCAGCACCCACATGGAAGCTTACAACGGTCTGTAACTCAAGTTCCAGTGGATCTGATTCCCTCATACGGACATATGTATAGGCAAAAAACACCAATGCACGTAAAAAAAAATCAAAACCAAAAGAAAACATAAAACTTGAGAATTTGGACAGCGGTTGAGCTATACCTAAAGGGAGGCCCTGTTGATTGATTGTGGGACTCATGGCTGAAGATCAGTTTTTCTGGCATCTCCTGATTTGGTTGCTGCTCTTAGAGCCCTGGGCCCGATGTAGAAATGAGGGCAGCTCTGGACACTGACTTGTCAGAATGTCCAGTTAGCGCTGGAGGGACTACTAAAATAAACACAAGTCCAGGACCCGTATTCTGCTCAGTTCCACCTCATTGCGTAAGCAAGCTAGGGCTCCTCTCCCCAAGCTTGGGTACTCCAGCCCTGCCCCTGGGTACCCTCTAAATCACCTCTTGGGACAGGAGATGTTCCTGTTCCGTGCCCAGCCTGGAAAAGCAACTTAGGCAAAGGCCACAGTTGTTTCCTTGGGCTTCCACTACTCCCTGCAGGTCACAGGTTCTGTCTGATCTGAGGATACAACTGGTCGCCATACCCTGGCTACATACTCTGTGAGAAAGAATGAATGGAGAAACCCCAGAGTTTGAGGTTTACAGAGAGGACTGTACCCAGACCCTGATGGATACAGGGATGAGTCAGTCTCAGGCCTCAGTGTCCAGACATGAGGTCTGATGGTGGCTTGGTGAGGCAGATTTGTCCAGAGGCAGCTCTGAACCCTGAGACATCTTGTGGCTCCGTGACCAAAACCTCTCCTTCCCCCACAAGGTGTTACCTGCAAACCCTGGCATGCTCAGGAAGGGGGTCCTGGGGCCAATGAAAGGGAACGTGCACGTACTGATATGAACATACTGATACGGACCCTGTGGTTATGGTAGCCTGTCTAGGACAAAGGAGCAACCTAGACTCTGAGCTGCTAAGTGCAGCAGGCCCCTGGCCTCCAGCTCTCTTCTCCTCTGCCTAGGGCTTTGCCTTGGGGGAAGGGAGTTCATGACATCCTGGGGACTCATCTTGCAGCAGATGGCACCCTGGGACCCACTCTCCTAAGACTAAGCTCTTCCAGTTCCCTCCAGGTAAACACCTCACACCTGTGGCGCAGCAGTAAGGGCAGGCTGCCAATGTTTCCATGGAGCCCAGGCTCCTAAGGATGCTGGCTAGGAGCCACTTAAGAGATGCTGACGCTGAAGGTTTCCCAGACTCCTGTCCACAGCCTACTGGGCCCCACCAGGTATGGCCCTTCTACACCAGGGAACTAGCTGAGGGCACTGGACAAGACAGTGCATGTGCCATGAGGGCCATTTCCAGTGGGCAGGGGGAAGTGGGCCATCTGCAAGCCTTGCCTGGCCTCTGGGAACTATGAGGCTCCCAGTCAGCACAAGGTGCAGGGTGTTGACATGAGGTACAATGGGCTCAGGACCCCTACCACGCACGTTTCTGGCCACAGTGCTTCCTATTCATGCAGTCCGAGATTTCCCTTAGGCTGAAGATCTCTGTATCATATATGTAACAGGAAGACAACCCAGGCTGCTAGACTGACCCTCCCTGAGGAAGGTCCTGAGTTACAGTCCTTTTTTTTTTTTTTTTTGGTTTTTCGAGTCAAGGTTTCTCTGTATTGTTTTGGAGGCTGCCCTGGAACTTGCTCTGAAGACCAGGCTGGCCTCGAACTCACAGAGATCCGCCTGCCCCTGCCTCCGGAGTGCTGGGATTAAAGGCGTGCACCACCAATGCCCGGCCTGAGTTACAGTCTTCTAGCCTTAATGAACCCAAGCTTGATGTCCCCACTTTCTCTCCTCACCCTTCCCCTGCTCAGCTCCAGGAGCTTTTTGTGGAGACCTCCCCCCACACACCTCACGTGGACTTAATGAGAAAGGAAAGGAGGTCCTCAAATATTTCCAGTGACCTCTCGGGTCCTCAGCATGGAACTCTACCTTGTCAGCTTTTTTCTTTTCCTTCAGTGTGGAAAGGGCTCAGCAGCTGTAGTAAGCACTGGATATTCTTCCAGAGGACCTAGGTTTGATTCTCAGCACCCACGTGGTGACTCATAACCTACTATAACTCCAATTCCAGGGGAATCCAACATTCTTTTCCGACCTCTGTGGGCACCAGACATGCATATGGTGCATAGACATACATATAGGTAAAATGCCCGTGCACAGGAAATAAAATAAAAATTAAAATAAAAATGTGGAAAAATACAACAGAATGTGCTATTTTATAAATTATATTTATTCCCCCCCTCTTTTTTTTTTTTTTTTTAGAGAATGTCTGATGTATCCAAGGCTGGCCTCTAACTCACTATGAAGTCAAGGATGACAATGACCTCCTAATCCTCCTGCCTCTACCTCCCTGACACAGAAGGGCAGTACACAGGCTCATACCACCATACCCAGCAATTCACTGGCATTGGAGACATCCACAGTGCGGCACCCCCACTAATCACTAGTTCCAGAATCTCTGTCTCCCAGATGGAAAACAGTTACTGCTCGTTTTCACCGTCTGCCTCGGTGAATTTGACCAAAGTGGACTCCTACATTTGTGGACTTGAATCCAGCTTCAACAAGATAGCTCTCAGTTTTTATTCACTTAACATGTATCAGTATTCCATTCTTTGACAGCTACACTATTGTTCACACATACCATGTTTTAGTTATTGATAAATAGATATTTGGGTTGTTTCTAAGTTTTAGCTATGATAAGTAAGATGCTATAAATATCCCAGAAAAAGCAGCCATGCTCACCTTTAATCTCAGCACTTAGGAGGCAGAGGCAGGCGAATCTCTGAGTAAGAGGCCAACCTGTGTGGGGACACCAGACCTTGAGCAGAAACCCACTTCCACTTCGGCCTGGGAGCAGGCAGCTGTGAGATAATGTTTACTGAAAACAGGTTTACTGAAAACAATTCAGTGCCATAAAGCTCTTGTTAGGGCTCCAATAAGGGCTCGCTCACTGAAACACCATGACTTTGATCCCCCTAAGGCTAGATGCTTCTTCCTGCTCCCTGTGGTTTCTCCCAGGCCGGAGATTAAACCACCAGCCAGGAGGGTGAGAAGTCTGGGAGAGCTGTGAGAGTTGTGTGAGAGCTCAGTTGGAGAATTATATGTGTATGGATGACAGAAGTCTTTAAAAAGGGAAGTGTTTTTTCTTGGGGAGTTCTCCTAAGCCGACTTGGGGAGCATAAAGTTTTCTAAACGCAACCGACCGGTCTCTGTGTCATCTATCCCGACCACCTTGCTACATTCTCGGATGCAGGCTGCGCAGGTCTACAGATCAAGTTCTAGGACAGTTAGGACTACATCGAGAAGCCCTGTCTCAAAAACAAAACAAATACACCCAGTGTGTGGATCTGTAGTGATTCATGATTGTCATCCTAACACTTGAAAGGCTGAGATAAGAGGACTGCTATCAGTTCGTTGCTACCCTAGGCTACTTAGTGAGTTATGGGCCAGCCTGGGCTACATACAGAGTTAGACTCTGTCTCAAAAGTAAATAAATAATCCCTCAACACAGTTTGTTGTTTGGGGGAAGGGCTTTCTTCTTCAGTTTTGGTATTGATACAGGTCTAATATAGCTCAAGATAATATAGGGAGCTTGTAACTTCCTATATTACTTAGGGTGTCATTGATATGAAAAGATTTCCTCCCAGTTGGTAGTCTTTATTCTTTTTTTTTTTTTGAGGCAGTGTGTCACAATGTAGCTCTGACTGTCTTGGAACTCAGTATGTAGACCAGGCTGCCCCTGAACTCACAGAGATCCACCTGCCTCTGCCTCTTGAATGCTGGAATTAAAAGTGTGCACTAACACGCCCAGCTCTTTTATTTGTTTATTTAAGATTTATTTTGTCTTTGTCTTTTTCTTACTATGTTCCCTGGCTAGCTTGGAACTTGCTATGTAGACCAGAAGAGCCTCAAATTCACATATAACCATTTTTGCCTCTGCCTTCCAAGTGTTGGTATTAAAGGATGCATCATCACTTTTTTTTAATTAAAAAAAATTTTGTTTTAATCTCGGCGGTGGTAATGCACACCTTTAATCCCAGCACTCGGGAGGCAGAGGCAGGCAGATCTTTGTGAGTTCGAGACCAGCCTGGTCTACAAGAGCTAGTTCCAGGACAGTCTCCAAAGCCACAGAGAAACCGTGTCTCGAAAAACAAAAAGAATTTTTGTTTTGATACAGGATCTCATGTAGCCTAAGCAGGCTTTGAGCTCCTGACTAAGCCTCTGCCTCTTGAGTGAATCCACATTTCTCTCCTTCCTATCCTACTGGTCTCTTGACTTCCACCCAATGGCTGGTGCTAGGTGTGAAGTCAGTCTTCAGATATGGAGTGAGTGGGAAGGACAAGGCCTCCTTTCTATTTGTCCCCCTCCCTGCCCAGGGTGTAGGGCTGAGGTAGCTGCTCAGGGACCTCCTGCCTCTTCCACAGGCCAGCTGACCTTTTGCCTCATGCCATGCATGAGTCTGCCCATCAGGCCACTGGCATTGTCCCGGGTCTCTGACTGGGGCCCTAATGAGAACCCATATATCACACTAGCACCTTTTGAAGTGATGGTAGGCACCCCGAGCTCATCAGGGGCAGGAACGAAGGGTTCTCTAAACAGCCTCCTCAGCCAGAGCCACTGAGCTATGCTCTCATCCATGTTCAGCCAAACTTCACGCCCAGGCTGGGCCCTGGGCCCCCTCGTGCAGGCCCTAAGGCAAGAAGCAGTTAGAAGTCATCCCAAGGCTAAGCCTCAAGCCCCACAGCAGCACACCAGGGGCTCAGCCCACACACCCTTGGCAGGACCCGGGTCCTGCAGGGACAGCTTCCTCCTGAGTGGGCCTCTGGGGTCTAAGAACTGTTTGTCTAGAATCCTGTCCCTGTAGTTTTAGTCGCTTGCCACCTGGGAGATGATGCAAGGTTTGCCCGAAAGAGGCAATAAGGCAGGGCACGAGAGCAAGCTAGGGATCCAGGCCACACGCTGCTGTGGTTTGGGAGGACTCTTGGTGTGGGGCTTGAGGAGGTGTTTGGCCTCCAGCTGCAGGAGCCAATATCGCCCATCGCCTTCAGCCACCTTTCTGGGGAGGCTGGGTCAAAGGTGCTAGGTGTTTTGAAAACCAGCATAGGAGGCCATGAAGGGAGCCAGGGCCCTGGAGCTTTTCTCTGTGACGTCCCTGTGAGATGGGCTGGGCCCTGCTGCAATGCCCCTGGGGCTCATGCCTAGGCCTGCCCTAAATCCTCTGGGATAGGCCTGAGCTCAGACTTCTAAGGGTTTCCTATTCTGCCTCCTTTTTACATTTTTATATATTTATTAGTATTATTGTTAGTTATATTATTATTATTAGTTTTTCAAGACAGGGTTTCTCTGTGTCGCGTTGTCTGCCCTGGAAACTCGCTCTGTAGACCAGGCTGGTCATGAACTCAGAAATCTGACTGCCTTTGCCTCCCGAGTAATGGGATCATAGGTGTGCACCACCACCTCCTGGCTTGTCCTTGACATCTAGGAGTGAAAGTATGTATGTATGTATGTATGTATGTATGTATGTATGTATGTCAGCCCTGATGTGGGGACAGCAGTAGTAGAGGTCTTTGATTCAACACTGACTAGGTGTTCCTGGGGTCCTGCTGGAACGAGGTTCATGTCTGCCCTGCCCGCTGCTGCCTCATCTGCCCACCATGGCATGCGGATGTTGCTTCCCAGGCCAGGACTCTGTAAAGGGGACATGGCACCTGCAGTGGTTTTACTCCCCAGACTCAGTTTCCCCTCCATACCTTAGAGATGTAGACAGGACGGAGCTCCCTGGCAGATGCAAAGGCCACTTCTACTCTGGTGGCCGGCCCCACTGGCCTTTAATGAGCAGGGCAGTCTGTGCCCTCAATGCCTTTGGACAAAGATGGTTCTGGCTGCACACTTAAGACTGAAAAGAACACGAGCGAGCCCTTCCCTGTCCCATCGTAGACTCCAGGACCTTGGCCGGCTCAGCTGGACCTGAGCTAAGCTGGGGTTGGACAGAGCAGGAGTACATGGGGGCACGGTCGATCCAAGTACTGGGTCCAGGCCTGTTGGCTCGCCTGGTGGGAACGCGGCGCCACCAGGCTGTAGAAGGCTGTTTGCAGGGATTGTTAGCCAGGAAGCTTGGCTCCTGCTCAGACTTGGGTTACAGTTCTGACAGAGTTAGCGTCTGCACCTGCGGGACTGTAGTTGTCGTCAGCTTACCAGGTGGCTGGGGTGGAATTTATGTCTATTTATCCCT